ATTTGGCATTTGAGCATATAAAAGATCTTTGAGCTTTCTGTTAACACTGCTTGGATAGCGTAACGTGGGTCATTTTATCTTAATCATGTCAGCTAAGCATGAAAAAGTCTACAAGACATTTTAGAGGGAGCAAGCTTTACAGTTTATAGAGCACTGGGCTAACTAGCATCCTATATTAACAAGCTGGGAAAACATTAACAGCAAATAGAAGTAAAAGTTCTAGGGTTATATAGCGCTTTTTTTTTTTTTTTTTTCCTGTCCAAACATTAAATATGGTTATGTTTCGTCTGAGAATTTTCAAATTCACAGGTATTCAAGCTTTCTCTGTAATAACTAAAAAATTATATTGACTTTAATTTACCATTGCTTTATTAGATAGTGTCTATATTTTCCCAAGGAAACAGAATTCTCTAATGCATTTTGTTTGGGTTACTTCTGAAAATACAAAAATATGCATTACAGAAAAAAATCTGCTTATATAATGACCTCTTAGTATAGATGGTGTTATCTCTTCCTTTTAAAACTTGAATAATTGGCGTTCATTGTTGGGACGACAGAAGAGACAGAAAAAGAGGCAGCAAGAGCTGTCAGTCAAACACTTACAGCTCTAGGCAGGCAGTGAGACAGACAACTGATACATGAGCCTAAGCACCAGTCACAGAAAAATCTGCAGGTGACACAAAATTTAGCACTCATAAACACTGTCTGCAATTTCACACAATTCAAGTTTTAGGTAACAGCAGACTTTGATGATTACTCTGGGAGTAACTGCCAAGAAATATTTAAAATCACTAAGAACATCTCACTGTCAATATTCTCTTTCATCTTTTATTGTTCTAGGCTAAAGAAAACCCCTACATTTTTCTTCTCCTAAAATAGACTTGGTGTACCTTCACCCATTTCAGTAGTTTTCTCTGCACTTATTCCAGTTAAAAACAAAATCTTCTGGAAAGAGATTCTGAGAGCAGAATACAACCTGGTTTGTGAGGCCTTTTCAATGCCTTGTGTAATGACTGTTTCTTTACAAAACCATCCTGCACATCCCAGAAGACCACTAGCATTTTTGAATTATGCTGGCAGTTTACAGTCATCACAAAATCATGAAACATTGTTCCCCATTATTTTCCTTATTTTCTTCAGATGTAGTGCATTATTTGAAGCCAGTGATCTTAATATTAAATTTAATTTCAGTTTAATTATTTGAGCTTTCAAGGTCATCTCATTTTTTGAATATGATGATCTGGTCTTCTTCAGTAATGAAGTTGAAACCTTTCAACTTCATATTATTTAGCACTCTTTAATTCTTCTCCCTTGGTTGCTACAGGATTCATTAAACATACGGTTCCTAGGCCTGATACCTGACAAATATGATTAGAAAACTTCTTCCATCCCAATAATTTTTAATTTGCCAGTCTCCATTCTATCCATCTCTTTATCAACTTTGAGCTATTAATCCTTATTGATACACTAATAGATATATAAATAAAATAACCAAATTCAAAAATTGTTGGTTTTTTTTTTAAACAAGACTATATCACAAGCTTTACTTAAATCAAGACAGATTAGTTTCATTGCATTACACTTGAAACATAAATTTTAAGTGTCTAAGTTTAAAAAAAACCCTCTGCTTTGCTGAATCAGTCAGTTTTCTGCATTTTCATTTGGCTTCCTCATGTGATTTTAGCCATATAATGCGACTACTCATGGTTTTCTTAGTTTAACCCTGCATCAGCCTTTAAAGGGATAGATAAAAGAACAAATATGAATAACAGATTAGAAGTGAATATTTACTAACATTAGGAAATGGGAAGTCTGTTGTAATTTTCATCCCTATAGAAGACTTCTCTTTGCCACTTCAGACATCCTTTTACTTTCCCTATACTGAACTGCAAATCTCCTGTTTACAAGATGAATAATATCATGGTTAAGTGTCTGAAAATGTACACAGCTTTAACATTTTAAAATTGTTACTAGAAGTACACCTATAATTATTTAATCAGTAAATAAATATTAGTGGTAATTATAGATATATACATATAGCCATATACAGAGAGAGTATCATACATAGTATTTACATATCTTTAGTGATAACAAGTTCTAAATTAGTCCTACATGAGCAATGGACTTCCTGAAGCTGAGTTATATGAAGAGGGTAACAACTGACCTCTTCAGACACTTCTGCAAGTATGATTCCTGAATATCTACTGAAGTTTTCCATAAATATCATTTTGCAAGGCTGATTTGTTTCATAAACATGTCTCTGACCTCTAATGAACATGATCAGTGATGAATAGTAATTGACTAACGTTTTTCTGCTTCATAACACTTAACACAGAATGTTGTATGAAAGACCATACAGGCAGAAAATAACATTGACTGTGTTATATTTGACTATTTTGTGGCCAGAAGGTTGAGGGAGGTGATTCTCTTGGAGTACTGAGCTCTAAAGTCCTCAGCACAGGAAAGCCACAGATCTGTTGGAGAGGGTCCAGACGAGGGTCATGAAGGTGACCAGGGGGCTGGAGCACCTCTCCTATGAGGACAGGCTGAGAGAGTTGGGTTGTTCACCCTGGAGAAGAGAAGGCTCCGGGGAGACCTAATAGCAACTTTCCAGTACTTAAATGGGGCTTATAAGAAAGATGAGGACAACTTTTTAATAGGGCCTGTAGCAACAGGACAAAGCGTAATGGTGTTAAACTAAAGGAGGGTAGATTCAGACTAGATGTAAGGAAGAAATCTTTTATGATGAGGGTGGTGAAACACTGGGACAGGTTGCTCAGAGAGGTTGTAGATGCTCCATCCCTTCTCTTTGTCTTATTTGCAATGTACAAACAAATTTTAGTTGATTGTCAAATTAGTTGAGTACATACTTTCTAAGTATGAGCTAAAGCTGCCACAAAAGACACACTTAGGAGATACCAAAGAAAGCACTGTGGAGCAGACTCTCTTTCTGCCACTGTTTGTACCATGTTTTTTAAGACTTAAGTGTGCAAAACCTGCCAAGGACATATTATGTTGTTATACTTTCTTAGAAAAGAAATTATTTATATTACCTCTTACCTTAAAAAAAATAAAATAAACTCAGACCTCTAGGAATTTACTTTGAAATATATTAAACTTATTTCAGAAAGTCATTAGATTGAAAAGGCAACATCTCAAAGAACATTGGATTCAATTGTCTGCACGAATGTTAAATTGCCCCTTTGTGTATCTGCACCACTGTACTCCTGTTTTTCAAATGATCAGAACTTGAGTTATTCAGGTAGCTGTAAGTCTGGTACTTTTGGACTTTGCAGCATTAAGGGCAAACATAGTAATTTTAATACACAGGTTGGTGACATAATTTTATTTGTACTTTCAATAGCTGAGTGGGGAAAAAGGTAGTGTTACTCAGTATCAAATACCTAATATGTAACAGATATTAACACTGGAATCAGATAATGATTGTCTTCACTGATACAAAACTGAAGAACTGTTGATAGATTTGGAATAGGAGAAAAGAGGGAAGGAAAAAATCAAATTCCAATCACAGTGTTTTCCAAAGAAAAAATTAAAATTTTTGTGCTAGCACTCACTGGGTACTGTTTAATAGTAGTAGGAAGAATGAAACAGGGTTTTTATTGATTAAAATTTGTTCTAAGATACTGTTTTCAGACAAACAGTGTTGAAAATTTTTTCCAAAACTTTTTCAGTGAGATCTAGCAATATTCCTTAAAGATGGACACCTATAAATGAATTAAAATTATTTTTTATTTTTTTTAACAAAGATTTATCTCTATATATCACTTTACCTCTCACCTCTTTCATCAGCCTCCCTTTCTGCTTACTGAAACACCGTAATTTCCATTGCTCACAAATTTTCAATTTTATCCTTTTAAATAAAGAATGTTTCCAGGGATTGAGATTATTTCACATGAGCCATTCTCCAGAAAGGCTTAAAATGAGTTCTTCAGCATACCTGCCTACAAAGCTGGAAAGACATCAAACATTTCTTTTGGTTTAGTTTTTTCTTTGATAAGTTTTGTAACAAAGTCTTAAAATATACTAAACATAACTATTAATTGCTAATGAAAATAAAACCTGAGTTTCTAAATTAACAAATTTATTTACTACAAAATCTCATTTAAAATTTACAATTTTATTTTAACTTTGAACTTCTTTTTAGATTATTAGGCTGTATTTGTTCTCTTATCTAGCGAGAAGATAAATGTTATCTCTCAATCCTTTAATATTGTATATGACCATCTGGCCAAATTAAGCAAGGAAAATGGAAGCCAAAGGCTGTGTATGTACATACACCAGAAGATCTTTGGTACAGGATACACCCATCTGATTCATAATTAGCCTCTACGGAGCTCAATGCTGAAAAACACCACAATATCACACTCAGGGGTTTAAAAAAATATATACCTCATCAGTCAGAAGCAGAGATTAATTCAGCAAAAGACATAGCTAGAATACTCTTAAATGTAAGTAAAGTTTCAGTTGTAAAAACTAACTGAACATTTTAAACTTTAACTCTGAAGCTTTCCTTCTACTTTCAGGATATAAAAGGTATAATGGTAAATATACCTGGATTGTAAAGTTCTGCCATCCACAAAACATAGCAGTTTTTATTGTGCTTGATCACATTACAGTGCAGCTGTGTTCTATTACAAACAGAAACAGATTAATTTAAAAGCAAGTTGTTTGCTTAAAATAACTCAGTCCCTGGTTTTAATTGTTTTGATAATAAAAAGAAATTGTTATAAACACAAATGAATATCATGCTTTGTAATACTGGTATTAGTCAACTGCACTTGCTAAAGGATATATCAGATATATTTCCCACAGCCTTTATCACCACCAAACATATTTCAGAGGTGCAAAAGTGTTCTGTGGGCATCTGTCTCTTTATTTACATACATTAATGTTTCCACACAGAATCACACAGAATCATCTAGGTTGGAAAGGACCCTGGAGATCATTTAGTCCAACCGTTCACCAAGCACAGTTCCCACCTACAGCATATCCTTAAGCTCTAAATCGACCCTACTCTTGAACGCCTCCAGGGATGGGGACTCCACCACCTCCCTGGGCAGCCAATTCCAGTGCCTAACAACCCCTTCTGGAAAGAAATGCTTCCTAATATCCAGTCTAAACCTCCCCTGGCACAACTTGAGGCCATTCCCTCTTGTCCTATCTCTTGTTACTTGGCTAAGGAGACTCATCCCCAGCTCTCTGCAACCTCCTTTCAGGGAGCTGTAGAGGGTGATGAGGTCTCCCCTCAGCCTCCTCTTCTCCAGACTAAACACCCCCAGTTCCCTCAGCCGCTCCCCGTACGACCTGTGCTCCAGACCCTGCACCAGCTCCGTTGCCCTTCTCTGGACACGCTCGAGTCATTCAATGTCCTTTTTGTAGTGAGGGGCCCAAAACTGAACACAGGAATCGAGGGGCAGCCTCACCAGTGCCCAGTACAGGGGTAACATCCCTTCCCTGTCCCTGCTGGCCACGCTATTGCTGACACAAGCCAGGATGCCATTGGCCTTCTTGGCCCCCTGGGCACACTGCTGGCTCCTGTTCAGCCAGCTGTCAATCAGCACCCCCAGGTCCCTCTCTGACTGGCAGCTCTCCAGCCACTCCTCCCCAAGCCTGTAGCGCTGCTGGGGGTTGTTGTGGCCCCAGGGCAGCCCCCGGCATTTGGCCTTATGGAAACTCCTCCAGTTGGCCTCAGCCCGTGGCTCCAGCCTGTCCAGGTCTCTCTGCAGAGCCTCCCTACCCTCGAGCAGATCAACACTCCCACCCAACTGGGTGTCATCTGCAAACTGACTGAGGGTGCACTCGATCCCCTCGTCTAGATCATCAATAAAGATGTTAAACAGGAGTGGCCCCAAAACCCAACCCTGGGGGACACCACTCGTGACTGGCCACCAACCAGATTTAACTCCATTCACCACAACTCTTTGGGCCCAGTCGTCCAGCCAGTTTTTTACCCAGCGAAGTGTGCGATTGTCCAAACCTCGAGCAGCCATTTTTGCCAGGAGAATGCTGTGGGAAATGGTGTCAAAAGCCTTGCTAAAGTCAAGGTAAATTACATCCACAGCCTTTCCCTCATCCAATAAGCAGGTCGCTCTGTCATAGAAGGAGATCAGGTTTGTCAAAGAGGACCTGCCTTTCATAAACCCATGCTGTCTGGGCCTGAGCATCTGGTTGTCCTGCATGTGTTGCATGATGGTGTTTAGGATGAGCTGCTCCATCAGCTTCCCGGGCACTGAAGTCAAGCTGACAGGCCTGTAATTTACCGGATCATCCTTCCGACCCTTCTTATAGATGGGTGTCACATTGGCCAATTTCCAATCTGTCGGCACCTCCCTGGTCAGCCAGGACTGCTGGTAAATGATGGAAAGCGGCTTGGCGAGCGCCTCAGCCAGCTCCTTCAGCACACTGGGGTGTATCCCATCCATTCCCATGTCTGTGTGATGCAGTAGGTCACTGACTGTCTCCTGGATTGCAGGGGGGTCGTTCTCCCAGTCTCTGTATTCTGGCTGTGGAGGCTGGATTTCACCAATACAACTAACCTTGTTATTAAAGACTGAGGCAAAGAAGGCATTAAGCACCTCAGCCTTCTTCTCATCACTTGTTATCAAATTTCTTCCTGCATCTAGCAGGGGATGCAGACTCTCCCTGGACTTTCTTTTGCTACTGACATACTTATAGAAACTTTTCTTGTTGTCCTTGATTGCAGAGGACAAATTAATTTCCAGTTGGGCTTTAGCCCTTCTGATTTCCACCCTGCATAGCCTCACAGTCTCTTTGTAATCATGGTGTGTGGCTAGCCCCTTCTTCCAAGGGCTGTAAACTCTCCTTTTCTCCCTGAGTTGCAGCCAAAGCTCCCTGTTCAGCCAGGGTGGTCTTCTCTGGCATCGGCTTCTCTTAGAGCGTCTAGGGACCGCCTGCTCCTGAGCCATTAACACTTCTTTCTTAAAGAGCGCCCAGCCTTCCTGGGCCCCTATACTCTTCAGGAGAGTCTCCCAGGGGATCCTTTCAAGTAGGTGCCTAAAAAAGACAAAGTCAGCCCTTCTGAAGTCCAGGATGTCAGTCCTACTTAGCTCTCTCCCGACCTCTCTGAGAACAGAGAACTCTATTATTTCATGATTGCTGTGCCCTAGTCGACCTCCAACCTCCATGTCATCCACCAGTCCTTCTCTGTTCACAAAGAGGAGATCCAGCAGGGCACCTTCTCTGGTCACTTTACTCACCAGTTGCATCAGGAAGCTGTCTCCCACACATTCTAGGAATCTCCTGGTCTGGTCTCGTTCTGCTGTGTTGTATTTCCAGCAGATGTTTGGGAAATTAAAGTTGCCCACAAGAACAAGGGCAAGCGATCGTGAGATTTCACCTAAGTGCCTATAAAATATCTCATCCATCTCTCTGTCCTGGTTGGGTGGCCTATAGTAGACTCCTACTACAACATCTGCCCTGTTGGCCTTACCCCTGATTTTAATGCAAAGACACTCAACCCTGTCTTCACTACACCTGTGCTCAAAGCAATCATAACAGTGATAACAGATATTTTCCTTCTGGTCCTGCTTTTGGAATCATATAGTGCTTCTGTAAACATAGCATCTGTAGGAGATGTCCTGTCAGTGAAATGTTTCATTACATGGCCATCAAAAAACACTTTTTAGGTTATAGTATTATTTTTACAGATAGTTACAGGGGAAAATTCTACAACAAAGATAACAGCTTTGGAAAAAAACACCAAATAACTCACCTGTGTATTTAAAAGATTTGTTTAATATGTGCTGGACTGCTGATAATTAGTAAACTATGTTTCCTAAGTCATGGTAGTACTACTTTTTATTATAATACTGTTTCAGAAATGTTTCCACATCATTTTGAGTCAATTAGTAAGTTTACTGACAAGTTCAGAGTCTGAAATGCTTTTGTTCCTTTTTACAGCTCTTCCTCAGTACTTCCTCAATACTTTGAGACTCCAAAGGTGATAAACTCCTTGAATTTGAGTTATGGCTGATCAGTGTTCTGAGAACTGGATTATTCAGGATCACCTTCTAAGTGCAAAACTTTGGTCTGATCTACTTTACAGGACTCTAATGCCCAGCTGTTTATACACTAGAAACAGTGTTTCATCCCTGCAAAGGTATAAACTAGTACTGTGCTTGAGTACAACCTACTTGTTGTTGAGTTGTACTCAAAAATCCAGTTTTGCATCTACTGTTCACTCATCCAGTCAATGTAGGAAAAAAATATATAGTCTTTCCCAAAGAACATTGTGAGTATTATTTCTTAATGATGAATGCACAGACCAAGGCAAACCAAGAAATATCCACATGCAAATTATTATTGAATGAAGTTTCAATGGAATGAGATCTGTCCTTTAAGAATACCACATGGGGCAGTTTCTGTATTTTTGTAGCAGCTGTTTACTTTTCCAGTCACCTAGAAGAACAGCTCCAGTCCATATGCAAATAAACTGCATATGCAAAGAACCTCTAACACCAAAGCTTTTACATCTATTGTGAAAGTCACATACAGCAAGGTTGTGTACAAAAATAACAGAATAGCCAGATTATAGCAGACCTCAAGCAGAACAGTCCTCAGCACCTGCAAAATGTTTGAAACAGTCCCTCCCACTGCTGTCCTACACTCAACCAGCTCAAGCTTCTGCCTCTTCCCTGACCTGACAGAGCACCCATTTTCTCTAAAAGAAGGACCTGATACTTCCTGTTCCTTACATGCCAGGATTCTGCATGCTCACTGTGTTCAAATGAGGCTGCTTTCAGAGGATGTTCAAAGTTTATGGTCCATCCTGTGAACCTCGAGAACATACTGCAACTGTTACACAAAAGTACCATTTGGCTAATGATGCATGGTTGTTGATGACCTTTGCTGTATTAGTTCTGATATAAAATGTGTTTCATCTGCTCCCATAAATTGGAAACTTTAATCCAGATTGGAGATTATATCCAGAAAGCAGAGTTAAAGAAACAAAAAATCATTTAGAAATTTATATGAAAGTATTCTCAAAAATGTCACATTCTTCTTGTGTAATTACTTTTCTGTTTCCTAGATTATAAAGTTTACCAGTGGAAAAAATGTGATCTGGAGTCTGAGTTTCATCAGTTTTCATATCTCATCAATCACCACTCCCAAATAATCCAGACTTTTCAAGACATATGCTGACTGAAGTTATTCAATCTTTTTTTTCTTTGTGAGGTCCCCATTGCTGTATCTGAAGCTAGGTAACCAAATTAAAAATATTTTTGTCACTAGTGCCAGATATGACTCAAATGCCACAATAGAAATAGATCTACCAAATAAGGAGTTGACATTTTTATATAATCACTTCTCAGTGATGTTTATTTTGATGCTGTCAAGAGGTATTTCTACTTTATATGAAAGATGCTTTGAGACAGGGAAAACACATAGCCTAGATACTGAATTGGGAAATGATTAAATGAAATATTTTTCTATATTTACATATGCACACACACATATTTATTATACACATACATATAAATGTATATAAAAGTAAGTCTTCTTCCTTTGCCAAAGGTAATGTCTCAGATGAATAGGCAATTTTCTCACTAGTCATTCATCATTTCTCAACAATTTCAGATTATTTCAAAAATAAAAGCAGTACCCTTAAATTCTGATAAATAAAGCCTTCTTACATTTTCAAACAAATATTTAAAAAAATTATTTGAGAAACTGGATGAGATTTAATCTAAACACTTCAATGGAGTTTCTTTCACCGAACATTCTAATGTTATGAATAACATAATAGAGTGATTAGAATATAACTAACATATGTGCATTTACACTGGCTGAGAGAAAACCAGTAAATTCTTGAGTAGAATAACTCATTTAGGAAGAGTTTATCTTATTTCTTCCACTCCTCTGTATTAAACCTATGTCTGTTCCACTTAAGTGCTACAATAAAAGATTTACAGGCTAAGAACCGAGGTCATCCCTATACCTGTACCTAGAAAACCCCAGATGACCTTCATCCTCAGCCCCTTTCTCCTGAGTGTGCTTTTGCA